GGCCGGCGAAGCAAGGACTAGGCACACTTTCGCCTCCATAGTCCCAAAGATGCCGAATAGGAGGGCTGGTAGCTAGTCGGACCCTATCTTTGGATCTGTCGTGAAAACGGTCTTAACTGTGACAATGGAAGATTTCTACAAAATTTCTTGTTTAAAGAAGCTATGACAGCTTCATACTCACCAGTCGGATCGGCCGGCTTCGCCGACGATCCTACTTCTGCGTGTGAAGTGCGATTTCCCCCAAACATTTCCGAAAAATGAGAGGGCCAGTGGGAACGGCGGCAGGGTTCGCCGGATCTTACGATTCACCGTATATATCCCCGGGTAATGCTTGACGATGATAGGTGAGCATTCTATGACCTCTAACGGTTCCTTGATCTATGATATGAATCTCCAAGAACAAAAAATTCCGTAAGCTCTCGGTTGGGCAGAATAGGGCATTAGGTTCGATGCTTGTCTGTGAGGTCGAAACTGAAATCTTCGAATCACTTGAAACATTATTAGCATTCCTAAGAGACGTAGCCTTTCAGCCATATACTTAGCAGCTGGACCCATGCGGTTTTAGCATTTTAACACGTTCGCGGCGGCGCCGTTTCGTCAAAAACTCCCGTTTGTCGAGCGACGCGTTCGCGGCGGGCGACACTTAGGCAGTCATCCCGTTCATGGTTGCGCGCTCGCGACGGAACCATAAACGCCTAAAATTCACGAAAGCCGTTTTTCGCCATTCTTTTTACATTTTTCCCTTCTACAAGTTTTATCTAAGTTTCGGTAAATGAACTAGCTTTCTTGCCCTTTTTGATGTTCACTGGTACCGCACAAAGGGGATGTAGACTTTGATTCTTGTGAAAGTTCTTAGTTCCTCTTGTAAAAACCACTACTGCCTCTACTGGTGGCTCTTCACGCAATTCCGAAATTTCGGACAAAGAGACAGACAGACGGACAGACGTTGCCGTTCATATATAGTACGATTTATAGCTCACATGTGCGCACGCCCCGCCCACAGTGGGCGGGCTTAGCCCAGTTCATGTGTGTTCCGTACATCTTGGCCCATGCCCTACCCAACCCACCCTTGACCCGCCCCCTCCAACTGGCTCTTCAGGTGATTCCGAATTTCCGGACAGACAGACAGACAGACAGACAGACGTTGCCGTTTGTGCATAGTAAGATATTCAGTGGTATAACACTAGAGATGGGAATCCGATAAGGATATTCTCATATGCATCTTTTTCATTGTGAATATTTATATAGATAAGATGACAGCAACCTGGCTCGCAATCTCCATCGTTGCAGCGGAATCCTGGGGCACACTTGACATCTTTACCACATTTCAAACTATACATACGATGAGCGTGGACTGAAAAAAATATAAGGTGCTTACAAAATACACTCCTTTCGAATGAGGTCGTAAATAAAAATTTATGCAGGCATGTACTGGGATGAAAACTACATACCTATCGCGAGTTCATTCTGAGTGAGAGAGTGCAGCGAAATGCATGGAGGTCGCAAATTACAGTAACTCGGAAAACTCTCGAAAACTGCCGCACAAACTGCTACTTTTGTGAAAAACGAGAAGTTGTTAGTCACAAATCACCAACATTCAAAATCATCGTAGGAGTCTACCGTGACCAACGTGAACGCAGGCTTTGAGTTACTCAGGAAAGGGTTTCTCTAAAGAGGACGTCGCTCTCTTTTCAATGCCTTTCTTTGCAGGCCTCCGCAAAGCAGACTCAGATTGAGAGCCCTGACCAGGGAAGTCCGCCAACTTACCATGGAACTTTGAAGACCTGGGTAGATCGATAGAGTCTATAAGGTTATTTACAAATATAGATAGCAAAACTGCAACCTGCATTTCACAAGCAACTTATGATCAGGTAAGGTTTGTAATGGTGCGTCGAACATCGAGCCTTACCACTGAACCACCACGACTCGATTGGACGTATGCAATTCCTCGCTTCACAGCTCACCACCAAGCCTCCACCCTGCTGCACCATTACAAACTTAACCTGCTCTTGAGTTGTTTGTGAAACGTTGGAGTTTTACTAATTATATTTCTGCATGACCTCATACACACTAGCGATCTACCCAGGGCATCCATTCAGAGTCTCCATGATTAGTTGGCGGACTTCCCTGGTGAGGGACTTTCTTGTACCAGTTCACCAAGGCTTTTTTATCACCTGCCACTTTCTGTACAACATGAGTCTCTATCGAAACTATCAGATTTCTACCACACCCTGCGGGGCAGCCAAGTCCGTGAGTAATCTTCCTCCATGAACTGTAGACTAGTAGTAGATTCTCCGAATTACTAGTAGTTGATTCATCGAATTAAAGTCAAAACAAACCGTTTCGAAGAGAGCGGGTGTTAACTGTCAAGACTTACTAAGGCATTAGTAGTTAGGACCGAAGAACTCACCTGTGAATACCACAGCTGCAGCGAAAAGTACGATACCTGTCATCATTCCTGTAAGAACAAAGGTGAACGGTCAATCTCATTTCGTGTATGTTTATAAACGTGGATCAAACGTGAAACGTGACACATCGTAAGTTGTTGAGAAGTGCATCACTGAACTACAGCTGTACTTTGAGTGAAGAAGACAACAATTTATACACTTTGATAGCAAGCTAAGATAACTTCTCGCACTAGTTCAAAGGCCAGTCCAGTACCGCTCGTCCAGGACTCGCAGCTTAACGTCTCATACTATCTTTATTCCCCAACTCCCTATCATTTGCCCTAGTGTTCAAGGAATTTCTATTTTTCCCTAAAAATTCTCATAAGCGTAGCGGAAAGGAGAGGTTGTCACCAATCAGATCCTTGAGTAAACTACCAGAAAGAGTAGTCATATTATAGCTTTGCGTGCCATCAACCCATCACCCCCATGAAACGAGGAAAACCGAGAAAGATCATCGAACGAAAGAAAGTTTATCGCGCTCGAGAAAACCCTATCGTGGCGGACCAAATATGTACGATCGCAGCGATCCTGCGATCCCTCCAGCGATCAAATGCAACACCATCCCTTCCGCCTTCCAAATTTATAAGATTCTCCCAAGGATGCTGCACCCTTTCGCAAGCTATTATCACACGCCTCCACAATCATAAAACAAGCATTTCATTGAATATAGAATGGGACTCAATCGATACTATTGAAACATTCCCTCTGACGTATATCACGAAGGTACACCAATTTGGCTGTCGAAGATGTCGAGCAGAGCTTTGAAGTTCAGTGATCTTCAACTTGGATAGTGGGTGAGACTGAGCACTTATCAAGTTCATTGTGAGTGCTACAAGCATCTCGTGTAGAACTAGCACGGGTAACACTGGGAACATCACTTGAATGAAGGCGAGGACCAGTAGAGCGTCTCGCGAAAAAGCGTATCGCGCTGAATGAATATGATATTCGTGTTCAGGGAACGAGCGCACGATCTTTGCTAGATATTTGTAGCAATAGATGCTTTTGCTACAAATTTGCAGCAAAGTTTGTGAATCTGGCTGGATTTCCACAAAGTATCATGGATGGGCAACGGTCTCTAGGGTCTTCCAGCTGGCTTGTCATCAACCACTCTTGGAATCGAAAGCAACCATCAGAAGTGGTTCCTTTTGAAAAGCGATGTCTTCCTTACGTCTTGGCATTTGCATGATTTTCTGATTAGATAGTATAGATGGTTCCCTGAGCTTCATTGTATTGAGATTTGTTCTTATGTATAGAAATGAGAAGCTCTTCTTTCTTCCAAAAATATTTATTGACGACGTTTCGGGCCTAAGCCCTTCTTCAGGTCACTGAATTACACAAGCAATAAAGGTCTTACACACGCACAAACCGCAACAGTCACCATAGAAGGAGCAGCAACCTACAGCGAGTTGTCCGGAAGGGGGAGGTGGGACTGCCTAGACTTCTTAAGCGGATATAGGCAGAAATAGGAAAGTGGCAGGGTTCTGGGTATATATACAGATGTAGGACCAAGGATGATCTGGGAATTGTCACGCATTCCTTCGTAGTGCACGTCCTACACTGATATCAGAGTCATTGCCACTCTCATCTCTTCCTTCATGTTGATCGGTGGGTTTAGCTGCTTAATTTCCAACGCTTCTCTTATCCTTCTTTCGACGGGATCAATCACATTTCTGTGCAAAATGGAGACTCGAAGTTCGGGCGGTCTCTCCTGAGCATGCCGTAGTGTACGATGTCTGGAGAATGGATTATCAGCGTAGTTCTGTGGACTACGCAGAATTCTTATGTGTTCCTTCATTCTCTTGTGTAGTGGCCTTGACGTTTCTCCGATGTAAAATTCATGACATGAAAGGCACACCACCTTGTACACCACATATTTTTCTTGACACACCTTGTGCTCTCCACAAAACTGACAGTTTTCTCTTTTACAGCGACTTTCATAGGGTCGCGATGATGTTAAAAGGCGTCGTAAAGTGGGAGGTGGTCGAAAGATCAGGCTTAATCGGGAGCCCTGATCTCTTGACGACGTCATTAACATCTATCGAGAATGAATCTATCAATCCCCAGGATGTTTCTCGCGGAAAAACCTTCCGACATAGTTTACTTCAGAAGCCAGGGTTCCACCGTAAACCCGCTGTCACAAATGGATGTGAATTAACAGCAAATGAGGCTCTGCGAATACTGCGCTTAAGATTCAGTTTCTGGATATGAAGAGGACAGCCCGAAATCAGCGGTTATATGACGTTGGAAAAAAGTCTCAAGAAATTCAGAGTATTCGGCATTCGGCCTACCATCTCAAATCTCTCTCGAATCTTGATACGATATACTGCATTCGATGGTAAGAAAGATTCTGCGATGGTTCATAACCGAAGGGCTTGATAAACGACTTCGCGTAGAAATTTGTGGTTAGCCTTGTTTTGTTGACAGGCATTCTTCTTTGTTGTTGCTGTTGTGAAGGCATATGTCACTTGTGTATAAGCAAGATACACTTAGAGTAATTGATATTCATTAAAATCAGACTCAATTTTGTACAAAGAAGAATGTTCGCGAAGATTCTTAGTTAGTTAGCTGTTGCGTTGTTGGTTTGTTTTGATCGATGTTTTTCTGGAGAGACATCATTTTCCTGAAATGAAGGTTTTATTAGACATTCATGGAAGTGCTGAAAATCTCTCACGCTGCTCGTATTCGAATGAAGCTGCCCCCGCGGAAGGCGACGATGAATCCGGTGATGGGTGTAAAGGCAGTGAACTTGTTGAGTTAGGAATTGTAATGTTGTACGTCGTGAAAGAAGGTCATTCGTCGACACTGTCGAAGAGACAGAGGCCACTGACAATGGCACCCAAGATCCCCATGATGCTCCCGGGTTGAACTTTACGTGGTGCAAAAACTCGATTCCATGGCTACCCAAGCCCATGACTATTATTGACTCAATGGATCAATACTGAAAAGTCGAGACTCCAGAATAATTATAAAAGTAGAACAGACCGCTGAAAGTCAAAAAATGATTAAAGATAAACACTTGTACTCAAAGGCATAAGGTACGGCAATTCGGTACACGGCTCAAAGTGGTAGTAATATGCTGAGGAAATGAAAAAAGCGAAGTGAGGCGGTCAAAAACCTGCAGCCCTTCGTTCCCACACGTCCCCAAAAGCAATTTTGGACGACTTCCCCGTTGGCACCGTGCCAATTACCGCTACGACCGCTACGTACGGCTTGTATGTGCTCATATATCCATGCAGCACCGCAGTCACTTCATATCAATCCCTTCGCTTCATATCGTACTTCTTCGCAAATGAAGCGATACGAGCATCAGCATCGGTCGGACATTTGTGGGCGGGCGGAAGCTGTGGGCGTTCAGGTCGGTATGCTGCACTTGATAGGGCGCTACAGTGTGCCTCCCCTGAAAAGGCACCACGCAACGCCTGCTCAGAGGGTGCCGAACTCTGTCCCACTGGGCGTATTAATCCTGCATGTCTTGGGGATTCATCTGCCACTTGCATATAAGAGAGGGAAAATCCTACCACGTAAGTGGCAGGTAGTTTTTTGGCTGGCCCGATGGAAAAGTATATTTCTTGCAACTAGAACCCATGATCAGCTCTCCTTGGAAGGCGTGGAGCCCGCCTTTTTTGCTTCAGCAACCCATCCTTGAGTTTTCACTGAGATAAATAATAGTAAGGTAAGCTAACACTCACATACAGATCTCCCTGGGGACACAACCTTGCTCAATGTCTGCGGAGAGTTGAACGTGTCCCTCTTTGCAAACGCATTTAGGCTCTCCACATCGTAAGGAGAAGCATGCCGAAACCTGGAACGACAATATTCGACTATCAAACGAAACCAGTAAATTGTGCAAGGTAATTACCTTATCGAAGTTGTGGCAGCTTTTCGGTGGACAAATATTTGAACATTCACGGTATTCGGCGTTTGTCGGACATTTCACTATAAAATATTATTGTGTAGACAAATCGCATCTTGGATATCTCGCGTGAAAGATTGCGAAAATACTGCACTCGAAATAGAAAAAAAATTGATAGTTGCAGAACTATGAGGAAATGTTTGAAAGCGCTGTGCAATTGAGAAAAGAATCGACAGCAGTGCGCTGGTTGATTCGCTAATTTCCGATGAGATGTACTTCTGAAGAAGTAGTATCTGGTGTTCCGCATTTAGGCCGGTGTTTTTTTGGGGAATCTTTGCGCGTCACGATCAAAGATAGCGCTCGCGATCAACTAAAGTGTCGCGATCAATTAAAGTGCAGAAACCCTTCAAAGTACAAAATCGCGGAGCTTGTGGTCACAGAGGGTATCGCACTTTCACGGCTCAAAGCTCTTGGCTAAAACACGACTGTTCCGCAACGATTGTCAGCTATTAGGTTGTCCGGAAAGTTCTCAGCGTTTTGGGTGTTTCACTTTAAACGATCGTAACTTTTTTAATACTCATCGGATTTAATCGAAATAGGCACCATTCGAATCAGCACACTTTTGCCAATGTGACAGCAGTCGAATCAAAGAAAAAACTGGGTGGTCGAGAATCCACGAAGGCTTTTTTGCCTGGTCCTGATTGATGAAGTATTTTCCAGCAAGGGAGTTCTGAAAATGTTAGAAAAGGTGATAGTCGGTTGGCGAAAGGTCTGAAGAATATGGCGGTTGAGGTAGAACTTCAACCCCCAATTCGTTCAATTTATGGATAGTGATTTGTGAAACGTGTGGGCGGGCGTTGTCATGCAAAGGAATCGGACCCTTTCTTTTGATAAGTGTTGGCTGCATCTGACAAAATTTTCGTACAATTCGTCGATTTCTTCACAGTAGGGTTCTGCTGTGATGGTTTGGCCTGGTGATAAAAAGTTATAGTGGATCACACCAGCCGATGACCACCAACCGTGACCAGAATCTTTTTTCGTGAGGGTTCGGCTTTGAATTACCTCGGTGGTTCGTCGAAATCCAACCACTGTCCGGAACGTCTCCTGTTATCATACATGACCCATTTTTCATCACAGGTGACAATTCGGCCCAAAAACAGGTCGTTTCTGCTGCGCAAAAGCAATGCAGAAGGAACCTCGAGACGTGCCGATTCCTGCCGGTCACTCCGATTGTGGGGCACCCAATTGTCGAGTTTTTTCACCTTCCCAATGCGTTCCAGACCATCTGCAACAGTGGATTTGCCAAGGCCTAGCTCTTCTGCTATCTCTCGAACTGTTTGGGATGGGTCAGCCTCCAAAATCCCCCTAAAATCCTCGTCAGATATTGCTTTAGGTCGACCGGTTCATCTTCAAGGCTGAAATCTCCAGAACGAAATTTGTTGAGCCATTGCCGCACAGTGCTTTCTCTAGCACTATTGGGCCCCCACACCTGGTTAATTTGTTGAGCTGTTTCGATTGCGGATTGCCCCAATTTATAGTCGAAGAAAAAAATCGTCCGAAGTGCTCTTTTCACATGCTTGAAAAAATCTTGAAAAAAGGGGGTTTATCAAGCAATGGTGAAACGGCAATTAGGCACTATTTACCCTTTACTGCCCCAGCCATCCGAAATCAGGCCAGTTCCTGACCGACTTTTTTCTCCGTGGGCAGAATTTGCTGAAAACTTGGCTCCAGGGGTAGTTCGACCCGCTGAACACGAATATCGCATCCGCTTGACCCGAAACCTGGCGCCCGCGCCACGGGCGCCGGCGCCAAAATACTCGAAATCACCAAATTCGCTGAAAACTTGCTCCCAGGGGTAGTTTGACCCCCTGAACACGAATATCACATCCGCTCAACCCGAAAAACCGTCGGCTGGCGCTCACACTACGGGGCACCGGGGCCAAAATACCCCAAATCATTGGCGCCTGTGGCGCGGGCGCCAGGAAGTTTCGGGCTGAGCGAATGTGATATTCGTATTCTGGAGGTCAAACTACCCCAGGAGACAACATTTGAGCAAAATCTGCCCACGGAGAAAAGTCGGGTCAGGAACTGCCTGATTCAGATGATGGGGCAGTAAAGGGTAAATAGTGACGGCAATTATACCATCAGATAGCGCAAGAAATTCTCTACAGGATGTGCTACTGAGAAGCAAGGCAGAATGAGTTTTTAATCAGCAGTGAATGTACAAAAAATAGGTGCACAAAACGCTGAGAACTTTCCGGACAACCTAATACTTCGGATATGTGACTAGAAAATCGTAATTCGCCGCGCTGGCGGACGTCGCGTGCAAATGGTTCCAGGTAGTAGATGGCGACAACAGGCAATTCAGAACCGAAAATAGTCATGAATGTCTACGATGACGGGGTCTACATGAAGTCCGGTGCTCCAGTCGACATTTTAACACGAGCTGCGCCGGAAAACGCTGCGCTCATCGACGCGCGCGGTGGAGCGGCAAATTATTCGATTCTCTTGCCCGTCTCCCAGCTACTTCCACCTCGATCATTTTTTATTACCAAGATTCGTTAGCGGGATGGTGATCGCTGCTAATCTGTCGTAAATGCCTTGGAGAAACTCGAGCAAAGTTTGTTATCCTATCCATTTTCGATCCCGTACATGCATATGGCTTGTTGAGGCGTTTTCGACGGTATCCTTTGCTTTTTTCCAGATGCATTTCTTTTACCGCATCTATGGATTCTGAGCCCCGCAACCTGCGAAAGATTACGGGTAACATCAAGAGTATGGCGCGCAGATCAATTCTCAAACCGGTGACACTCGAATCACACTATGCTGGCGAAAACAGTGAACTCAGAACTCCCACAACACAGCTTGGCAGGACTAGAGTAGTTCCCATGCTTCGCCAGTAAATGCTGACCGATGCAGGTAGAACCCCTTTCGGCAGGCTCACCGCCCAAAGTCCTAACCTCTACAAAGGCAAGGGCCCATGAGGGACAGGTGGGGGATTGGAACGCAGCTAGCACAGCCTTTTCAACAACCGTAGCGGGCTCAGGATATCACCATTGCTGGAGGGAAGCCGGCTCGCATGCACTCCGACCCACGCTTCCCTCTCATGCCCTCTTGATTGCATGGGTAATCAGTATAGGTAGTATACCCGTTCGCCATTAAAAAGTGCTGGTATGAACACCAGGGCCTTGTGACTTGATCGCTCAGTTGGCTACTCCTGCCCAAGTAACTGCACACTGTATGTAATGTACGTGGCATTACGTCACATTACATTGAGTCTGAAAACGCTTTCTCCAGCCTGACTCCTTCCGCAATGTATCCACCTTCATTGCCTGTGCGCCTGCGTGCTCTACCCCGTGTTGTCTCTAATTTTATCTCCTCTGTGTCTTCATGCACAGCATGTTCTTTCATTGCTGATAACTAAACAATCCATATTTGGGGTATGAGCGCGTTCTTCTCATTTATTCTTTACTTTCCGGTAGGCTTCTAGCACATCTAATCTATCAAATCTCGAATTTGCTGAATACCTACCAGATGTTCGTGCTGGAGCTGTGGTGGTTTCTCGTCTCTGGCGCAAAGGTTTAGTAGGCTTGCAAGTACGAACAGGAACGAGGCAGTCGTACTCATCCAGAGTCTGAATGTTTCTCCAGTTAACAAGGTGACTGTAATGTCAAATGAGTGGAAAATCCCCCCTCCTCTTTCGGAGTCAGAACAGCAACTAAGTTGATAATTTAGAATCTTTTGGGATTTGAAAAGTGATCTTGAAGCCCCAGCGATGCTGTGAAGAGACGTTTCCATTTACAAATAGGATTCTTCGAGGTGGACACATTCCATTGTGACCATGTGGGCGGTGTCATACATACTGTTATGCTTCCCTCATTGATTGCCTCTCTTCTCTCACTGGTAGGGATCAAAGAGGAGGGACTTGCCAACGAGGAACGCGCGACGGTACGCCTGACACCTCCCATGCAATATGGTGGTGCTTTTGAATAACGCGCATCGTTTCAGCTCTCGAGTCAGACCTGAGAGGTAACATTATATCAGTTAGATGGATTTGTGATTCCTTTGCTTTCAGGACCAAAACGGTTCATTTGTGAAGCTAAGTTTACACTGATCACACTGTGTTCCTAGGTAAAAGCTTCTATAATGAATACTTGAACCCCCAAACCCCATATTCCCGTTTTCAGGTAATTGCAACCATGCCTTTTCCGCAACAAGACGGAATGATAGTTGACGCAGAAAGAAATATCCTACGAAAAATGCATTTTTCACCATGTTGAATCTGAAGAAACGCGACCACACAGTCCCACTCTTTAGGACTCGGAGCGTAGCTTTTGCGCAGGTAGAGTGCGAAAGCGTTTCTAGATCAGCGTTTTGATCACGACCCTCATGGAAGTACACAAGTACACACAGAGTACAGCATCATGATGGTTGAAGCGGTGGTGTGGGTCCGACCCCCCCCCCCCCTCCCTCCCTCCAAGAGAGGGGTGTCAATACGACCCCTCCCCCACCTCCCAACACCTACCTACCCATTTCTTTCCCGTATTTTCCAGTTTTTTCACTTAAAAATTTTCCGTCGGGGGGGGGGCTATATAGTGCACATAAAACAGGAAAATTCACGCAAAGAGTCAACGACCGGAAAACCAACGAGAAAAATTTTTCTCAAACAGCCCCTCTCTCTCACGACCCCCCTCCCCCAGTGTGTTTCGCATAACGATGCTGTACACACCAATCACGGATGAGCCACAAAAACCATACCATTCGATCGGTGCATCCTTCCTGTTTTGGAAGAACTAGGCCAGGGCAGTCTCTTCTTGGAATAAAGTGGTCGTGTCGTGATCGCATTCATATCCAGGCTCACAGTAAATCGATCCACATTCTGAAATGGTGGCTTTGGTAAAGTCCATGTTGATTCTCTTCGATTAGTTGCCATCTTCAAGTAGCAGTCTGTTTTTGCTCTCAGTCAACGTTGGACAAATAGCCGTTGAAGTAACATTTTTTAGCGGGATTAGTGCATTGGGGTAATAATGAGCAATCATACTTGCTAAGTGGCCGCGCATGAAGAAGAAGCAAGGGAACACCGAAAACTGTATAATGAGCCGTCTTTTCCGCGCTTCTTTCTGAGTATAGTATGAGAATACTGTAGAGAAACAGTGAGCGCACTTCACGAAGGGGAGAGAAAGCATAAAGACGGGCGAGATAAAGCAGCGTTCTGACTTCGCGACGACAGGGTTTCGGTCGCGCGTTCGACGCGATTGGTGAAATCGAAAACATGCGTATTGATTGTGTTGAACGCGCACCAAAGCGTTGTCGCCAGCAAATCTGTGCAACTCGCAGGACAGATTGCTCTATTGCCTAATCATGGAGTGTGCCTTGATGAAAATGAGAAAAATAGAGCAAGAAAATACACTAACTGAGATTCTCCTTGCTGCAAACAATTTTTGGCATTGGACAGCCTCGCTCGTCGACAATAGTCAGCATTGTACAACCTGATTTCAGACGAGGCATTGAAAGCATAGGGCAGTCAGTGCGAACTAAAAAATTGCGAATTCCCTGAGTTTTAACGAATTCGTTTTATATGTCAAAACAGTTTTGAGTCAAGTATCTTTGATTCATTAACGAAAATACTCTTATCAGGAGAAAAGGAAAAGTAAAGTAAAGCGTAAGATCCTGATTCATGTCCCGTTTGAAGCGAAGCGTTTTACTCATGCCCGATTTCAACCCAAAAAATCAAATCAAGGCACGTTTTAGGTTGGAGATCCCCAACATAGTACTAGTATTTAGCTGTTGGTGGGGAGGGAGCCGTAAGAAACCGTAAGAAAGTCCTTTCTGATTTCCGTTCCGGAATTTGGTAATATTCCAGTTTCTCGTGCGCTACTTGCTACTTATGAGCCCCCCCCCTATTCGCTGGCGTCGCAGAAGTGTTATTCCTACCAGTTGTAAAGATTAAAGGTATCTACACTACTCCTCCTCAGCTGTGGACGGGATGGTACCGGAGGAGGAAGATTGGGGGGGGGGTCATAAGTAGCAAATATTCTCCCAATTACCAGGGGTTGCCTTCAGGTTAATGGACAGGGTTGGAAAGCAAGGGCTGGGAAGATTTTGCCTCTTCAGAACCACTCCAGCCACGGCGGATTGATAGCTGGTTGGACCATATTTTAGACTGAGAGTGACATCAGATTGATTTGTGACTAGTAAAGGTTCCCCCAGAACTTTCGTTTACAACAAGCTGTGACAGTTATATGGTGGTCTTTAGGGAAGATTACTAGTAATTTGGCAAACTCACGAACGCAAGCTCCATCTTCACAGCGAAGCCCTGGGGCGCACTTGCCATCTTTATCACAATCAAATGGTCCAGCGTGGACTGAAAAGGAAATACAATTGGAATGTGTTACAATATACACGTTTTTCATCCGCTTATAATTACAAAATCAAGCCAATATGTTCTTGAGGGAAACCATACCCTAGACAAGACGTTATATCCCATGAAACAGGGTAATTTTCATGAGCCTCTGCCCACGCGATTGTCAGTGTGTATCTAGAACGTTGGGTTGAAGCCATATTTGCTATATCGTGCCCAAATAGTTACGGAAGGGGTACCGCCTCTGTATTTCTGGACAGTTGGCTTTAGCAAATGGAGGGGTGAGAGGTACAACGTCATTCTCTTCGGGCCTTCCGCGCTCTCTTACGGATAGGCCTTAGTGCCTATGAATGAAAGAGCAGCTGTCTAGCGATGTTGCACGTACATCCAAGTTACTAGTACGCCCTCTCCATCGCCAGAACTTGGACCGTAGCTTGATATTTGTGGTAAACTAACCTTTGAAGAAAAGAACTTTCCGTAGGTATTTCAGACAGTGGCTGCTAGGGTAGGGAGCAGGGGGGGGGCTAATTA